GGTTGCTGACACGTTTCTCCCACTCGTCATTTTCTTAGGATCCAGGAAAAGAGGTGGAGTTTCCATTTGTTCCTCCTCATACTCCCGACTTGCTGCAAGATGTCTCCGGTGTTGGAAGTTGCCATCCGTGCACACGTGATAATCACATTCATCTGGTATATCATTCGGCTGAAGTGGACCAAAGCATCTCGGGCAGTTCATCGCCAGTACATCCAATGCTGAGAGATACAAAGCACAGATAGTAAGTTGCTGCTCCTTTCGCAGCATATATCGAAATGCATCAATCGCCGAAGACAGTGTCCTTCTCCATCGTCTAGGCTGGATAGTTGGACGAAATATATGTCAGGTTTCCAAATATTCCATCCTGAAATCTTGATGTTAGATAGTGCTCACTTGTTTGGATTTTTTGACCAATATCAGTGGACAAGCCGGATCAAGAAAGGAATCTAATGCCAGTGCAAAGCCTTGCGTTCGTACAGTGCAAAACTTCCACAGTGCATGATGAAGCCGTAGCAGCCGGATGGAATATGCTATCTGTGGATGTACAGGTGAACCGCCTATGTACCCCATTCTCATTAAACAAACCTGATCTGAAGTACAATCACAAAATTGAATTTCGTCCTGCTTACGGCCTTTATTAAATTGCACCACCACATGTCAAATTTTTTGGATAAAATTAATAAGACCAAGTTGGCTACGCACCAAGGATGTCTAGCATATCAACCTTGCGAGTACGAAGTTTGCCAACTCCACATCAGCAGCCATGGTTAAAGTCGTGATCCCACCTTGACGTATCACCCCAATTTAAGGTTTTTGGAGAAAAAGTCATATAGCATATGAACATATCGGGTAAATTTTTGGCCCAATTTTCCTTTTCAGCTAATCTTTTGCTTTTGTAATAAGATCCTTGGACATAGTTTGAGAATGTGGTGTTCTCATCACGGTGGTAACTCCCCTGCCTGATCATCAGTGTGATGCTGGTATGTAATTATAATATTGTTCTCCTCTTCCACTTCCATGATATCTCGTCCCTCGTCGGCAGGTGCGTTGACGTCATCATGAACTTCAGGTGCTGTTCCATTTGCCGCCTGCTCAAGTGCTAGTTCGAGTGCTTGTATGCGATCATTCACGTATTGAGCTTCGCTCCTTTCAACTGCTGCAACTATAATTCCTGAGCCTTCAGCTGCTGGTGGTTTGCGTTTCTTCTTCTGACTTCCTCCTAAAGGACAAGGTACTGAGTTTCCCTTCTTGCCCATTGGATGTTGAGTATATCGATTTGGATGATAATGATTAGTAGGATGAGATTTGTGGTCGCAAAGATATTCTTCAAAGTTTGAAGGGTAATCGCTTGACGGGGACAGCTGCTGACGCTTACCACATTTTACCTTTTTTGAAAAGGGGCACAGACTCGTTTTTCAAACAGCCTGAAACGGACAGAACGGACAGATACTCTCACTGGCCCCTGTCCTCCAAGAATGGCAACTCTCAACTACTCCCAGCCATCCCAAATGAAAATGGTAAAACGATTTGAATAGTGACAGGTGTATTCCTCCCAATTGATATTGTATGAACATCCAAATACCAAAAGGAACGAGAGGATTCAATTCCAACTGCTAGGTGAACTCAGCTGAGAATATTTCAGCAAGACAAGGATAAATCAAATCGTTCATCCACTCCTATACAGTCCTTGACACTTGCACGTGATAATCAAGGTGTAAAGTAAGTGACATGTCGCAGTGATTTTATCACGTGCTAGACTGTATAGGGTCTGCCACCCATTTTTGTTTTCGTCAAAGCAAGATTCTGGTATGTAAACAAATCCCTACCTTGTCACCAGTTACATCATCACTCAATCCCCATATCACTCCCTTTCCTTACGTCAGCCTTTCCTGGAACTCGACTAATTCTCTAAACTCTATACGATGCACACCCCTCGATCTTCAGCTTCCAAATCGAGAAGCATGCGCTCCAAGCGCAAAAGCCACATGGGATCTAGATCAATCATGTCGAAGTCTATATCTTCAAGGCCCAAAACCACTCGGATTCAAACCTCCCGAACCCGACGCCAAAATGAGTTGACCGCGGCAGAAATGGCGCTTGATGACGTTGATTCTGGTAAGCACCATTCAGAACTAACTTCCTTACTATTGATTCTTGCAGATGGGTGAGATCATAATAACTTACGAACCCAAACCCAATCGCACCTCCTCTACATCGCAGACAAGAACAAAGACCAGGACGAAGACCACGATGACGAGGATGATCGTGAGCTGAATGAATATCCTCAAACATCCTGCACGTGATCATATTGTATTAATAATATGCTTTCACTTGGAGATGCAGTAATGGCACGACTCGCGAGGCAAACCTCCCTGGAGGAAGAAGATCCTGAAGAAGTCCCAGAACCCACTCGAACAAACACCCAACGCCCTCTGCATTCATTAATCGTTCAACCACAGGATGAAGCTGAAACGGACCTACCTACTGGAACCAACACCCGACGAGCTCTGTGTTCCTCAAACGTTCAATTGGAGGAAGAAGCTGAAACGATCCTACCTACTATTGATAACTATAAACAGCTAGTTGATGACTGGCCTCCAGCCCGGATAGCTGTCCAAGACCGATTGCAAAAGAAGAAGCGTACGGCGGTACCCCCTAAGATTTTAACTGAAGCTCGCGCAATTCAAAACCTTTACAAGCAACATAAGTCGATGCTTGCAATCATGGGTAATGTCAGTACTTTTACATTGAACAAAGCATTGTAAGTGCTATTTCGTTTATGATTTGATTTCTAGCTCAGGTCAGTTGACTGATTTATTTATTTCACAGGGGGGAACTTGGTGGTCGCCGACGACCAAGCGGTTATCAAATTTGGTTGAAGTTTGGGAAGGAGATTGAAAAACACCGAAAGCGAAGTGAGTTTTCTCACTCTTACAGTTATACATTACCTGTGTAATGATATTGACGATTCATTGCTAGTGCCACGTAAGTGGGGCCAGAAAGGTGTCTTAGCGTCTCGAAATAAGTTACTTGGCGATATATGGACTCGTCTTCCTATAGAACATAAAGAGGTATTTTCCCCTCCGGTTTTTCATGCCCTATCTGGTCTGCATTATTCACAACATGGTAAGAAAGTCGATACCGATGAAGATGCGAAAAAGGATCCAATCATCTTTGAGCCTGGGGAACGTGAAGCATTACAGGCTTTATATGATCAGATAGTTTGGAAGGAAAAGGTTGCTAAGGAATATTCAAAGGCTTCTAAACGTGTGGCCTCTGGTCCCTCTTTGCCTGATTACAACCGTCAGTCACTTAAAACTATCGAACGGCTTCAAAACCAGGTACGTATTTCCATAATCTATTCGATTTAGGTGATACTTAATGAACTTCCCTGGCTGGGTTTCGCTGTTCCGTCTTGTCTGTTTTACAGATTGAGGATGAGTAGAACAACATGGGCTTTGACTACTACCTTCTGGCATGTAGCAAACACAGTTTGACTGAGGTTTGCTCTTCTTCAAGAGGCTGGTGTAGAGAGTATACATCGATAGAAGAAATGGAGAAGTATGTCAATAAGAAGTGTAATTTCTCTTCAATGTTTGCCGCCAGGGCGCAAGGCCTTTCTGTCGGGGAAATTGTAGCTGAAACCATTGGTACTAATGGTATCTTAACGGAGAAGGCGCGAAAGGCTGATCCTGGAGATAAAGTGAAGTCTGACCTTGCTCTTGCGTTGCGAACATGTATGAGTAAGTTCAAGCCCTTATCTCGTCTATTTTCTTATGCTGATTTGTTTCTGAAATAATCAGAGGGTTTACTTGGATACGAAGTCGGTTTTCCACGAGGACCTGATCCAGAAGCCATCTTACTCGACAAATACAACATCAAAATAATCCAGATGCATGCTTCTAAACTGCCACATGAAACTTTGAAGCTAGGATTCAATGCTATGAATAGTCGCAGATCTTTGTGGCTGGATGATGTCAAGGCTAATCTTTTCAAGTTAGAAAAGATGGACACAGATGAGGAAGATGATGATGATAACAGAATGAATATAGATGAAGAGGTTACTAACACGCAAGATTTACCTATTGATGACAAAATGGATGAAGATGAGGAATGGACTGGATTGGGTGATATTGAATGAGCCAAATATATCAATATATAAATCTTTTTATATGTAGTCTTCATATTATCAACTAACCACTTTGATCTTGTAGTGAATTTAATATTGAATGAGCCAAAAATTTTAATATATAAATCTTTCTTTTGTATATGTAGTCTTCATATAGATGTGACTAAGTTGTGATTGTCAGTCACACCTTTGTGACTGACAATCACACCTCAGTCACATCTATATGAAACCTTCGAGGTGTGATCGAGAAACACAAATGTGTCAATCAATCACACATTTGTGACTTAGAATCACAACTTGATCCTCACAATCACAATTGTGTGATGCTCAGTCACCCAAATGTCCATGTGAATCACAATTGTGTGACTCAACTTGTGACTTAGAATCACAACTTGATCCTCACAATCACAATTGTGTGATGCTCAGTCACCCAAATGTCCATGTGAATCACAATTGTGTGACTCAACATTACACAATTGTGATTTGTCTGTTTAAAACACACATATATAAATGTTTTTATATGTAGTCTTCATATTCTCAACTAACTACTTTGATCTTGTAGTGATTTTAAAAGTTTTTCATATTAAAAATATTAATATGAAAAACTTTTATATGAATTTGATATTGAATGAGCCAAAAATATTAATATATAAATCTTTTTATATGTAGTCAAAGTGGTCTCAACTAACTACTTTGATCTTGTAGTGAATTTGATAAGGGAATAAGTTTCAAAGTTCCACACTAGGGACCAAGAAGCTCCGTTCAAGTATCACACATTGTGATGCTTGAGGAACTATATCAAGTTCCCATTAAGCTTGATCTGTTTGTTTTCACACCAGCCAACATGTAGGTGTATATATGTAATTATCATTTACCCTATGACACACCATTCACATAAGCTGGAACAAGTTGTGTTTGGCAAATTGTATATTTTGACCTAGTAACACACATACCTGAAATCAAATCCTTGTTTACACCACAACTTTTGCACTTTACGCACCACACAAAAAGTGAGTGTATTTTTGGAATCAGGCATGTTCATTTACCCTATGACAAACCTTTTACATAATCCGGAACAAGTTGTGTTTGGCAAATTGTATATTTCGACCTAGTAACACACATACCTGAAATCAAATCCTTGTTTACACCACAACTTTTGCACTTTGCGCACCACACAAAAAGTGAGTGTATTTTTGGAATCAGGCATGTTCATTTACCCTATGACAAACCTTTTACATAATCCGGAACAAGTTGTGTTTGGCAAATTGTATATTTTGACCTAGTAACACACATACCTGAAATCAAATCCTTGTTTACACCACAACTTTTGCACTTTGCGCACCACACAAAAAGTGAGTGTATTTTTGGAATCAGGCATGTTCATTTAACTTATGACGAACCTTTTACATAATCCGGAACAAGTTGTGTTTGGCAAATTGTATATTTCGAGCGTATTAACACGCATACCTGATTCCCAAAGCAAGGTGCCCCACAACTTTTGCACTTTGCGCACTACACAAAAAGTGAGTGTATTTTTGAAATCAGGCATGTTCATTTAACTTATGACAAACCTTTCACATATTCCGGAACAGGTTATCTTTGTTAAATTGAGTATGATCATATCTTGACCTAGTAACACGCATAGCTCTTTTCAAAGGAATGATTACACCACAACTTTTGCAGTTTGCGCACTAACCTAAAATTAAGTGCATATTTGAAATCAGCCTTGTTCACTTTGCCAAACCTATCACATATGTATATCTTGCAACCAGCTTTTAGGGGTTTTTGGTCAATTTCTACCATAAACTAGTATGAAACATGCACAGCACATATATCTTCATTCACATATATATCTTGCCACCAGCTTTTACGAGTTTTTGGTCTATTTTCACCTTTCGGTATGTAAGATGCACGTATTACTTCAATCACTGATATCTTCCAATCAGCATTTACGGGTCTTTGGTCAATTTCCATCATTTGAGATCAGTTTTACGGGTATTTGGTCAATTTGCATCATGTGAAATGTCTCATTATGTAGATATATCCTCATGCACATGTCTCTTTCATTCAGATATAAATTTAATGGGTAACTCACTGCAATAGCCTTTTTTTATCTCACGTGTAATCAAATAAAACACCTGATCATTACTCTGAAGGGTGGCATAAAGGGTGCACAACGAAATTAGAATACAAAAAGACCGCAACTAAATCTAAGGGTTGGTTAATCTAATTCCAATGTGGAGGTGATGTAATAAAACCAAAGAAATTTGTTCTAACACAAGTTAAGTAACCTTGTAATACCCATATTAAAAGCAAGTAAGCACCGGATCAATCTTTGACTTCTATTAATCGGTATCGAATATTCAAGGAAAGTAAGCCAACGGCCGAATCAACGGATCAACTGGGATCGGAAACTACTCACTGGGCTTAATATCTAGAGTTTACATCGTACCAAGGTATCATCTTTTTCTGATCCACTTCTAATGTGTTTCACCTTCATAGCCTTAAGCAATCGATTCTTTTTTGAGATCATCCAACGTGTGTTATGAAATTGGTAAGTGATTTGGGACTGCATAACCTGTGATGAAACTCTGGTTAGTAAATGATGAGGCTGTTCGAAGGGAGTGACACTGATCTACCCTACTTTTATAACACTGTCAAACCCCGACCAGAACCTCAACAGTTGCTCTTCATCGAGGTGATCGTTTGGACCGCAGTGTTGTGCGTAATAGTTCATAATAGCATGTTTTAAGAATGGATGTTTGATGTGGCCGTAAGGCTGCTGAATAGGCTTGATAGGATGTGAAAGTTCGTAACACCGTGATAAACCGCTGATCGCAATTTGGTTATTGGTTTGGTAGTCGGTCATTTTGGGTGAATCGGATTTGGAGAGGAACTGGGATTTGGAGTTGGTAAAAATAAAGGAAACTTGTGGGTGGAACAAATTTCCAAATTCCGATTGTATAGTACAGTACAGCCCTCATATGTATTAAGAGATGAGCGCTGGTCAGACCTAACCCTAATCATTCCGTACCACTTCCCAAGCCATGTATTGCTTGGTTACAAGTATCACTTCAGGTCACACCGTTCCACCAACTTAACTTACTTATTTTGATTCGATTATCAGAATCAAACATAAACTCAGTTGTGTCTTGGTTTCTTGGTAAGTCAGTGTTCAAGATTTATCTCCTGGTTATACCTCTGCCTTCTTCTTTTGCTCATATATTAATTTTCTCCTTTTAGTCCTTTGGGCTTTTGATTGATCAAGAAGATAATCAGGACTCGGGCAGATATAAGCTATTATATCATCTCCCAGTCTGTTGCTGCTTGCTCCTAATTGTTGGACTCCGTGCTATGAACCGGGAGTCATTCGGCCTACTGTGGAGATTGGTGTGGTAGTCTAGTTCAAGAAGGAATTCGTGGATCTGGGTAAGCTTTGGTTATATCTCTTCCTTCTTCTTTACCGGGCGGTAAAGAAAACTACTGACATAGAAAAGTCCTGAGGCAACAGGAAGAGAGCTAAAAATCTGAAAAATTATGCACCTATTATATCATCTCCCAGTCTGTTGCTGCTTGCTCCTAATTGTTGGACTCCGTGCTACAAACCGGGAGTCATTCGGCCTACTGTGGAGATTGGTGTGGTAGTCTAGTTCCAGAAGGAAATCGTGGATCTGGGTAAGCTCAGGCTTTTAAATGCAATTGAAATAATTATCATCTAATATCGAATTCTTCTACAATATAGTTTCATCAACTGTTTTGAATATTGATCAAAAGTAAACAACTTTGTTTTCTTCAAAATCAACAGCAGATACCAGATTCATAATTGGTTAACTCGAGTTTTTATTGGCTAACTTATCTCTTTAGCATTATTAAACAGATCGGGATTCAAAACTGACTCAAGAATTGTTTTACACTTGCATTATCGGTTTGGATAGGAAACTGATCGATCATTATTCAAATCAAATTTCATAATTAGTTAGTTGATTCATGTTTTCATTTGATCACTTATCTATTTGGGATTAGATGCATGAACAATCTAAACTGACTATAAATTTGTTTTTACACTTGTTTTGATGGGTTTGATAGGAAATCGTTCAATCATTATTCAAATCATTTTCATATAATTGAAGTATACTTGCTGATTTAAACCAAAGGATCATTTATGAAGATTCATTCATATAATTGAAGTTCACTTGTTAAATTGCAGTATGTGGATTTTTGCTTATATATTCATATTTCGCTTGAAGAAAGTGATTAGAATGATCAGACTTCAGGATCGCAATTAGAGCTGAGAATGCGTTTATTACTAAAATTAATCTAGGTATCATCTGATCCTATTTATATATATTGTTATATAATATATAATCGATTCAACATAACATCTGTTTTCCTTGAAGTATGTAATTTTTGCTTTATAGAACATATCGATTATCTCAATTCTGGATTGTGACTGATATTTCGTCTTCTACCTATTTTATATTGTATCTTTAAAAGGAAATATATAAGATGACACGTCAGCAAAGTAATGACAGGAAAAGGAGAGCGGGGGTTAAGGTTCCAACTCACAAGTCCAGAAGATCACCTGCCCACTATAAATCTAGGGATAAATACAAGAAGGAGAAGAAGTTAGGCAAATTATATAGCCGTCATCATGCCAAACGAAAGGAATTAAAAGCAAAACTCACTTCAGAGCTTGGCTTACCTTTAGATACCAAGTTTATTTTTTGTTACAGTTTGAAAGACAGACCTGATCTGGCTGGTCGGGATCGAATTAGTATTAGTACCGGAACCGTAGTTGTTATTAATAAGCTTGATCTATCTATAGTTTTAGTAGTTAAATGTACACCGTTTGAAGATATGGAACCTACACTTAGAGAACGATACGATCATTCTATCTCCACGACATTTCTACATGCGAGGGCTCGAAATCAATGCAAAATTCATAGTTCAATTCAGCCGGATGGAAATAAAGATGATGAGATGAAACCTCTTGAAGGTTGGATGGGCTGTGG